TATGTAAAGACCCAACACTGGGGTTTGGATTAAGGCGTAGTAGCAACAGGATTCCCAGTTTGGAATACACCTCCTTTTTTTGAAAGGTCTGAGCCACAGTCAGTCAGAAGCACTTTGCCTTGAACTTAATTCCAGACTATGTAAGAACTGGCCCTAAAGAAGCAGGTTGAGGGTGGAATGAGCCTGGCCAGGAGGCTGGAAGGCTCTGCTCTGTCATCGTTGCCTCCATGAGAGTGGGTGGCAACTCTCAGCTGTTTCCTTAGTCATCACAAGGAGGTACTTACTTCAGTTGTTAAAATTAGCTTAGTTGGCCTTGGGAATCCACCCTCACAGCAGGTAGAATGCTGAAGGGGAGGGACCTAGACAGCAGGAGAAAAAATGCTAAGGTCATCTTGGGCCCCCAAGGTTTAGCACAAGCAAAAAGGGAAAATAAAGGTGTAAAAACATGGGGTGGGGTCAGGATTCTCATACCTTTGTCCAGAGCTAATTCCGGAGGACCCACAAATCATACCTTTTACTGAAGGTGATGTGCAGAGACTGAATGTGAAAGTCTCCAAATTGTGAACAAATTGGGGTCTCAAATGCAGGACGGCGATGTGCCCCTATTTGTATTATGCCCAGGAGAATCTACCCCTATCACTTCACTAGTGTGCTCTGTTAGGACAATGGGGTTCCCTTGAGGATTTCTGGGGTGAAAAGATGTAGGACAATGAACATGTGAAATCCACACTTGCGTGTGTATGATAAGCATGTGGAGTGTTACCAAGAGCTAAGTGAGTGGAGAATAAAAAATGAACTGAAAAGGAGCAAATCACCCAATGTTTTGAAAGGCCTCAATGGATGGAGAAACATACATACACACAAGGGGAAATGTTATTCACCCTTTAAAAGGAATGACCCTCTGATACATGCTACCACATACATGAATCGTGAAGACATTATGCTGAGATAAGTAAGCCAGGTACCAAGGCCAAATAGCATACGATCCTCTTAAATGATGCACCTACAGCAAACGTTCATGGAGATGGAAAATACAACAGGGGTTGCCAGGGGCTGATGGGAAGTGGGGAGTTATTTTTTAATGAATGGGTACAGAATTTCAGTTTGAGATGATGGAAAAGTTCTTGAAATGGAAACTGGCGATGGTTGCCCAATATGAATGTTCTTAATGCTTTTGAACGGTACATTTAAATTCCATAAAATGGTAAATTCTCTTATGTGTATTTACCCCTCGCCCCCCCAAACCCCAACAGAGACCAGTTTTTGGCCTCCAGATGCTTGAGTTTAAAACCAGGAGTGAAGATTCGTGCAGCCACAAGGAAGGACAGTGCAGGATGAAGGAACAGAGCTTATAGCAGCGACTCCAGGCATCTCTTATCTTGGTCGGGGAGTTCAGGGAGCCCTTGTCATTGGGCCTGATAATTACTAATTTACCTGGCTACCCAGGAGACAGGGAGCAACCTCAGACCAGGGACTCACGTTTTATTTTCTCTCTATAGACCTCGGAGTGACAAGCACAATTCGGTATCTAAATCCAGGCTTTCAGAATGACTCTTCCACGGAGGAACAGGGCCAGGCGTCGTCCAGGGTTGAAAACAAGTTCACGTTCACGTTCATGGTTAAACTCTCAGGATGCTCAAGGAATAGTCCAGATTCCTGCCCCGTGAGCTCTCGGCCCCTACGTCTCTACCAGCCTTCGTTCACGAAAGGAGACCCCTGTGCCCAAGCCGCTCAGGGTCTGGGGCCCATGGACAAAGGGCTGAAGCAGAGCCTCCTGAGGGTCGCGCTGCCTCATCGGCTCCGGACGAGCAAAATCTCAGTGGCCTCCGCGCGGGGGCCGGCCAGATCCTGGAGCGCCCAAATCACTCGCAGAAAAATGCTGACACCTGCAGTCGCGGGACATTCTCCCACGCCCATCCAGTGCAGGTCACTGGGAGAGACGCCCGGGACCCGGCTGCTGCGCGAGTTCCAGGCTCCCGCCCGGCCCCGGCTCCCCGGCACCGCATCAGTGCGGGGCTGGGTCCGCGCGCCGCCGCCAGGGGGCAGCTCTCCCCCACGCGCGCGCAGCCTGGACCTGCGCCCGTCACTTTCTGCGTCCACGCGAGAGGGGCGCGCGGGAAGGCGCTTGCGGCGTCGCTGCCCCGGCCCGCCTCTGGGAAAAGTTTCTGTCCCTTGTACAGCTTGGTGGGAGAGCGCGTAGACATTTCCCAGCCGCGGCCAAAAACTGGGAGCACGTTAGGGTGGGAATCCCGGGGTGGGGGCGGTTGGGGGGTGGAGGACGAGGACGACAAATCCGGAGGCGCAAGATGCAAAATGCCAGCGTTTCCGCGCTGGGGGAATTTCACGAGCGAGGAGCTGAAGGTCTCAAAACAAATGTGGAGCTTAATTAAGCAAACAAAGTAAGTGGAATGTCCAAATAGGGAGTTTTGGTAAAGCTTGCCCAAATCTTTGTTAACATTCTCCGTCTCTGCCGCGGTCTCCGCAGAGTGGGTTCATCTTCCACGCTGATCTTTACCAAGTCCTAACACTTTCCTCTGAGTGGCCAGAAGATGACTTGCTGCATTTTTGAAGCGTTTCCAGAGAAGAGTCCTTTAAAGCTTTGGGGAGGATCCTGCGGACAAAATTACCAACGGAACACAAAGTCTATCTCCTGCACCCTTCTCAGACAAAACGGAGGGTAGAAAGAAACCCTGACGGAACGACGGCTGTAACTGATCATCTAAAGTAATTGATGGTCTGCGAACAAATTCTTCCTCTCTGTTTCATCTTCAAATACTTTGCCACACACCAACCCCCAAGTGCTGCGAAAGTCACGGTGTTTATTTAGATATCGACCGAGTACTTGCAGAACTTAAACTTCCCGATGTAAAAGTGAACTCCTTGGTAAGGAGTCCTGGCTACATCAACAAAGCAATGTGATGCCTGATTAATAGCGCTGATTAATGTTGGCTCAGGTTAATGCTGATCCCATTACAATAATTAAATTGTTCAGCCATATATCAAACGAGAGTCAATGAAAAATAATTTATTAGGAACTTTGAGGTGTTCTCAAAGCTCTCTTAGAGATCTACGATAGACTTCATGGGTCATTTGTAAGTGTAACTGGTGGTAGCAATCGTCAGCAACAAAAAACCGATTTTAAAGAACGTCTTAGATGGGCGGACAGTTTATTTTTTGAGGTACTGTGATTGATAACGGTAGTAACGACATTTCAAAATATGAAAAGTACTTGGTTGATAAAATGATATACACGAGGACAGCTGTTGACTGTTCCTTCAGAAAGCCATTGAGTTTTAATTCTCAGTTCTTGTCAAGAGGTCATTTTAATCAGAAAGTTAAACTTTTAGGACAAGCTTTGAAATACAAACATTTTAGGAAACATAACAATCCAGAAGGCATAGCTAAGTGAATGTGAATTCTACAAACTACTAGGATTTTCCACTAGCCATAATCAATTTAGTGATCTTTAAAACAGCATTATATGTTTTAATTATTTCCATTACCCTGTCACCTGAGAAAGAAAAATTAATTAAATAGAACTTGAATCTCATGCTAAAGCTTTCACTTTTTGACCTAACATTATGGAAATATTTAATAGCTTTTCAAAAACACATTTTAAAAAATTGATCTTAAAGTTATCTATCAATGTAGTTTTATTATTAAGCCTGCCTGTATAGAAATATGTGTATACGTTCCAGCAATTTAAGTATTTTGAGATTACTGTGAAATGATTAGAATGTTCCTCTTCCTGAGAACTATATAGTCTCTGACCCCATTATGAATGAGCCTTCTTGAGACAGTCACATTGTGAATTTTTTCACGACATTGTGATTTTTTTGGTGCGTGTATTTGGGTTTCACAAACATTCCCTATTTCTTCTTTGAATTCAATTATTACGTTCTTTATTGCCATGAAATTTGTCAGGTCCCAGGAAATTTGTCTCTTGAGAGTGGCTTAGTTTAGCCGTCAAGTCTCTAGGGCATTCACATGCAGAGAAGTGACTGAAATGCCAGCCTCTGCAGCATTTTTATTAACAGATGGCAGAAAACAAACGTCCTTGGAGAAAAACTGAAGAGAAGGGGTTAAGGGGTCAATAAACAATTATTATCGTGCTGAAACTGGGAGGTTTATCTTCAGATTCAATGGGAACCTCTCTCAAAATCTGGAGGAGCTGGGACACCCCAACAGCCCCCAGAGCCTTCTCCAGAGACCACCTCAGAGGATGGACTAGCTGTCCCCCGACTGGACGACTCCTCGAGGCTGTGGAAGGTCGAACTGCAGCGTCCCAGGAGCGCTCCGAGGTTAGGGTGGAGGGCTAGCCGAGGGGGGAAGCGGCTGGGAACTCTGATTCGTGCCTCGGCTCTAGGTCTAAACAACATCTGGCCAGTGCGTTAGTCAGGTATCATCCCCTGCAGCAAGAAATAGTGAGGTCGCTGTCTCCTCAGCTGCTGCCCCCGCCTGCAGGGGAATGTTCTCCACCGAGCAGGGCTGATTTCCTAGGCTTTCTTTCCCTTCCCTCGGCAGCACTCTGACGTGCACACCATGTGACAGGCCCCCTTCTGCTATAAACCCAGGAAAGGTCCGCCCTCTCCTGGACTCAGCCCTGGCCTCGCCGAGCTCTGTTCCCAGAACCTCGCGCGTCCCGCACCCTCCTGGGCGCCCGACTCGCTGACTAGCTGCCCGGGCCCCGCCAGCCCCTCCTCAGCTGACCGGGCGAAAGACGCTCAGAAAGGGGAAGGTCAAGTCCTCCTCCCGGGCTCGGTGCGAGCGGAGCCCCCGGAGCGCAGAAACCTCAGGGCTTCGGCGGCGCCGCCAGAGTTACAAAGTCGCAGCGCGAGACTCCGCCGCGGCTCGGCAGCCCCGCGACGCTCAGGTAGCGGCTGCGCCACCAGCGTGGCGCCCCCGGGCCCGGCCCGCTGCCCGGGACCCGGGCTGGGGAGCGGAGGGAGCCCGGAGCCCGGCGCCCCCATGCGCCGCCCCGCCGCCGCGGTGCCACAGCTATGACCCTGAGCACGGAGATGTCCGATGCCTCCGGCCTCGCGGAGGAGACAGACATCGACGTGGTGGGGGAGGGCGAGGACGAAGACGACGAGGAAGAGGAGGACGACGACGAGGGCGGCGGTGGCGGGCCCCGGAGGGCTGGCCCCGCGCAGCAGCAGCGGCGGCGGCGGCGGCGGCGGCGCTCGTACGCCGGGGAGGACGAGCTGGAGGATCTGGAGGAGGAGGAGGACGACGATGACATCCTGCTGGCGCCGCGAGCAGGGGGCTCCCCGGTCCCCCCAGGTCCAGCTCCCGCGGCGGGGGCCGGAGCCGGAGGGGGCGGCAGCGCGGGCGCGGGCGCAGGAGGCGGCGGCAGCGGCGGGAGCGCGGGCGGAGGAGCCAAGAACCCGCTGGTGAAGCCGCCCTACTCGTACATCGCGCTCATCACCATGGCCATCCTGCAGAGCCCCAAGAAGCGCCTGACGCTGAGCGAGATCTGCGAGTTCATCAGCGACCGCTTCCCCTACTACCGGGCGAAGTTCCCCGCCTGGCAGAACAGCATCCGCCACAACCTCTCGCTCAACGACTGCTTCGTCAAGATCCCCCGCGAGCCGGGCAACCCGGGCAAGGGCAACTACTGGAC